TCTCTAGCCTGAGGGACACATCAGTTGCCGGATCCGCAAAATCATTTAATCATTTATTCTAGACAATTTTCTGTAATACGGATGCTCTTGTATATCGGAAGAAAACAGTCTAGCTACAGTGTATAACCTCTAACAGTTTAAACTGCCTGGCTTCGATAGCAACGCAATCTCGACATGGAAATGCTACAGAGATATGTGATCTGCTGATTTTCTAGGTGGGCCGGTGAGCCGGTTGGCGAATAGTAGCCGAAAGAATCCTCACCTTTTAGCTGTATAGCTGTTAGCTTTACCTGTATAATAGGTGCTTGTGAACTTTTTTGCCCTTTTTGGTTGAAATGAAACTAATGAATAAGTTTATCTATTAGATTCAGCCATTGCTGTGAATATCAAAGTTTACATTAAGCCTGACTAAATTGAACCAAATTGATCAATAAATCATGAGAATCAAAACGCATGCTAATAATGCTAATAATTCGTCAATTTGGATATGAATTAATGCTGACTTGAACAGACTTTCCAATGTTGAGTCAAAATCATTACTATCGGTTCAAAAAAGATGCTATTTTTTGGTGAAAGATGTTAGTTTGATCTGAAACCTGAAAATCGTCTCGACACTGATTCTTGAATATTGTTTACTCTCACGACTTGAACTGTCATCCATCAAGATAATGTTGAGCCATTACGATACAAATGAAACTAATCAGTTCATTTGGTTCATGTTCACATTTACTTTAGTCTGTATATTAATTGACAAGCACTGTAGTAGTCTAGTAGTTTTGAAAACTGGAGGTTACTAAGTACTTCTGAAATAGCGTTTGCTTACTTCTTCAGCTTTTGATCACTTGGGTCAATCACCCTTTATATCAATATTACAGGTAAACTATAATGTCCTTGCTCTTCGTTTTCGAGATATACACACTCATATCTATGATTGACAATGTTCCGGAGTCAAAAGTTTCTAACTCATAAGGTTTTGATTTTATTAACATTCAAAAATTATTTTGGACAAAAAAGTCTAAGAGTAGCAACGGAGGGTTAATAGCAATACAAGAATATCAGAAAATCTTGATATGCATTATGGCACAAATTCGGGATAACGTTGCTCCAAGTTTCATTCAGACATAATCAAATAGAGTGATTTGTCCAAGTTGAGGGAAAATACAAATTGATACTTTTATTTAAAGACAATTGTAAAATGTAACAGGCGCTCAATGTTAAGCGCAAATATAATAGCATTTAAATTGATATTTTGCGAATTTTTTGCGAACCAACGACTAAAACACAAAATCCTTTCCACGAAGACACACCGCTTGTTGATGCATGTTGATTCGACTTCAATTTTTAAGCTGAATTATTCGAAGACTTCAAAGAAGGTCCAATGTTGCAAATTAATAGCATATAAATTGATATGTTCTCTAGGATGAACTATAAGAGACAAAATTAAGTTTCATCTAAATGACATCTTAAGTCTTCTTACCGATATGGCAAATCTTTTCTCAAGAGTAGCAAAGTCTCCGATTTTAATGCCATTGTGTGGTCCGGCAGCTCTATCCATTACCTCCAAAACCTGTACAAAAAGATGAGATGCAAACCATTTTCAAGTTTCGAGTTATGTTTTTAGCTTGTGATTTAGTTTGAGTTCTGTGCTGGGAAGTGTTTTATTTACTTTCAAATAGAGCCAACAACGTGAGCTAATCAACTTGTTTATGAGATTTTATTATAACTCATTTTTGCTTTGGCTCTCATTATCAAAACTTACCTTGTTTACTGAGCAAATCTTGAGTCTGCTCTTGGTGGATAGTTGGTGCAGTTTAACTGTTAACCTATTCAGCTAATCACAAGAAAATTAGAGTTAAAAGAAGTTGAAAATGCATACAATAACAGCCAAAATTGATTCTAAATTACCTGTGAGATGAAATCGCCAAAAATTAAACCAAATGTTCCAAGAGCTAGCAGAATGAAGAAACCGAGAAACGCGAAAAAATTTGCGAAAAAGTCATTGTAAACTTTAACAATCAATCCAAGAAAAATATCGAGATCTCCCGCAAAAGCAAAAAGTGATAGATAATATAACAGTAAATAGCGAAACTTATAAGAAACAGCTTCAACTTCGTTAAGATGACGAATGATTGACGCACAAAACGATCCAAGTTGCTTTTCATCGACCAATTGGTGATTCAAGTCTTTTGCACAGTGCAATAAACCGTATAACCGAAAGAGGTGAAAATAAAAAGAGCACACCATGTATCAAAAGAATGCAATTACAGCATTAAAAAGAAGGGCGATAACGAAAGTAGATGAAAAAGCGAAAACAAAACCGAAAAATGCTAATTTAGGGATTCTGTATATCCAAGGATTGGAAAGTAATGGTACAAAAAAAATAGTAATACAAAGAAAGGAATTAAAAGCATCACGTTATACCCAGCAATAGATAATAAAAAGATGGTGAAACGAAATCTTTTAGCTTGCAGATCATTCATTCGTAAGTTGGTCGAGTCGAAACCATTGAGACAAACTTTCCATGTATTCAATATTTCAAAGCTTCCTTTTGCATTTATATTCAAAACCCACTCTCGAAAAATAAACATCATTCCGATCGCCATTGCAGCCCACATCAATAAAGCTTGACGATCTTTAACACGAAATAATGGATCTCCAAGGTAAATTCCAAAAGAATCACTTGAATTTAAACTTAGTACACTGAATCTTAGAAAATTTATCAAACAGTTGATTGTAATAAACCAGTCCATCCATTTATATCGACGATAACCAAACGCATTCGCTTTAGATGAATTGCTTTGGCTTCGACCATCAAAATCAAGTTGAAAGACAATGGTCAACTTTTCTGTTCGTTGCACTGACTTGTAAACAGTTAAATCAAATTCATTTGAAACAGGAACTGTAAATGTAACTATATGACGTAAAAGTACTGTATAACTTAACCACTTTTCCAATATGTATTTTTTCTGTTTATTCAAAGCATTCAAGACTATGGTTTCCATTATACTTTTACTAGAACTGCAACTTGACTGTGATTAAATTGAACTTTTTTAAAACTTTTAGCTTACAATCAATTTTATTTTCAACTTTTTAAATTGTTTTTTATTGTTTTGGTTGCTCATTCACAAATAATTGATTTGCAAATCTTTTTATAGTTTAATCATTATACTTTTATAAATGACTTGAATAGTCATTAAAACAGAATCATTACACAACTTATAATTCAATCTCTGCTTAGAGTGCAATTCACGAACTTTTTATTTATTTGTTACTGTGGGAGTGTAGTGATACTCAAGAACAATCCCAATCATATCATTTAATCATTTATTCGCGACAATTTTTGGTAACACGGATTCCCTTGCATCCAACAGCCTAGCAAAGATCGTTCAGCAAAGATCTTTCAGCCTTTGATTTTTAGGCTGAACTTTTATAAGATCCTAAATAAGGTCCAATGTTGCAAATGAATAGCATTAAAATTGACATGTTTTCTAAGAGAAACTAGAAGAAACAGAATAAACGCTTTGATAAAAATGACATTTTTACTCTTCTTACCGATATGGCAAAGCTTTTCTCAAGAGTGACAAAGTCTCCGATTTTAATGCCATTGTAAGGCCCGGCAGCTCGATCCATTACCTCCAAAACCTGTACAAAAAGATTAAATGCAAACCATTTTCAAGTTTCGAGTTATGTTCGCAGCTTGTGATTTATTTGAGTTCCGTTTTGATAAGTGAACTTTCGCTTTGGCTGTTATTTTCGAAAATTACCTTGTTTGCGGAGCCCATCGTAAGTCTGCTCTTGGTGGATAGTTGGTGCAGTTTAACTGTTAACATATTCACCTACAAGAATTAAATAATTTCAAATGGATAAATTATTTACCAATATCGAATCTAAATTACCTGTGAGATAAAATCGCCAAAAATTAAACTAAAAGCAAGAGAAGATAGCAAAATGAAGAAACCGAGGATTGTGAGTAGGTTTGCGAGAAAGTCATTGTAAACTTTAACAATCATTCCAAGAAAAATGTCAAAATCACCTGCGGCAGCAAAAATTGATACATAATACAATAGTAAATAGCGAAACTTATGAGAAACAGCTTCAAATTCATTAAGATGACGAATGATTGACACACAAAACGATCCAAGTTGTTTTCCACCGACCAATCGGTGATTCAAGTCTTTTGCACAGTGTAATAGATCGTATAACCGAAAGAGATGAAAATAAATAGAGCACGCAATGTACCAGAAGAATCCAATTACAGCAGCTAAAAGAAAATCGCCAACGAAAATGGATGAGGAGCCCAAGACAAAAGCAAAGAATGCTAATTTAGGCATTTTAAATATCCAAGGATTGGAAAGAGTGCATACAAGTAAAAGTAATGATAAAAAGAAAGGTATTAAAAGCATCACGTTATGAACGAAAATAGAAAATAAAAAGATGGTTAAACGAAATCTTCTGGCAACAAGATTGCTCATTTGCAAGTTGCTCGAGTCGAAACCATTGCAACAAACTTTCCATGTAGACAATATTTCGAAGCGTCCTTTTGCATTCAGATTCAAAATCCATTCTCGAAAAATAAACATAATACTCATCGCCATTGCAAACCACACCAATAATACTTGACGATCTTCAACACGAAATAATGGATCTCCAAGGTAAATTGCAACTGAATCACTTGTGCTGAAAGTTAGTACGATGAATCTTGTCACACTCATTAAAACGTTGATTGTTATGAGCCAGTCCATCCATTTATATCTACGATAACCAAACGCATTCACTCCAGTTACGCTTCTTTGGCTTGGACCATTAATGTCAAGTTGGAAGACAATGGCCAACTTTTCTGTTCGTTTCACTAGCTTACAAACAGCTAAATCAAATTCATTTGAATCAGGAACTGTAAATGCAACAATATGACGTAAACATACTTGATAACTTGACAACTTTTCCGAAATGTATTTTTTCAGTTTATTCAAAGCATGCAAGACTATGGTTGTCATATTTTTACTAGAACTGCAACTCGACTGTGATTTAATTGAAATTTACATTTTAATTTTATTTCCAACTTTTTATATTGTTTCTTATTGTTTCGGTTGCTCATACACAAATGATTGATCTGCAAATCCTTTTATTGTTCAATCATTATACTTTTATAAATCACTTGAATAGTCAATAAAGCAACATCATTACAAAACTTAATCAATTAATCAATTAATTAATCATTTATTCTAGACAATTTTCGGTAACACGGATGCCCTTGCATATCGTGGGAAACAGTCTAGCTATAACCTTTAACAGTTTAAACGGCCTGCCTTCGATAGCATTGCAAACTCGACATCGAAATGCTACAGAGTTATAAGATCTACTGATTTTCTAGGTAGCTCGGTGAACCGGCTCGCAAATTATAGCCGAAAGAATCCTAACCTTTTAGCTGAATCGCCCTGTATAATAGTTGCTTGTGAATGTTTTTGCTCTGTTTTGTTGGAATGAAACTAATGGATAAGTTTATCTATTAGATTCAGCCATTGCTGTGAATATCAAAGTTTACATTAAGCCTGACTAAATTGAACCAAATTGATCAATAAATCATGAGAGTCAAAATGCATGCTAATGAGGCAATAATTTATCAATTTGGATATGAATTAATGCTGACTTGAACAGACTTTCCAATGTTGACTCAAAGTTCAACTTTGCCAACTGTTTGGGATAACTCGTAGTTTACAAACATCGGGTTATTTTGCATCGAGATAACAAATTGATAGCAAAAACAACTGTATTGATCATAATGTTTTGATGACTGAAAGTTGATTCGATCCTGATAGAAACACCATTTAAAGTTCAATTTGCCGGTATAAATTGGATTAAATCATCGGGCCATCATGTCTGCGATAAAAGCAAATATTTGCCTCTCATTATAATAGTTAGTTTGTTAAACCATTTCCATGGATATCAAACTTATAATAGACATGAAGGTTATGCAAGTTTAGCTCAAAATTTAACCCATCACCTCACCAATCCAATCACAATATAATTTTAGCAAAATAATTTTCAATTTTCTGAAAGCGAAATATTTCTACGCTAAATGATGTTTCCTATGAAAATCTAACAGCATTCATAGATGAGCTCGATAAGACAGCCAAGATTAAAAATGTTCTGTGCGGCTGATGAACAGAAAGTAGTCGAGTGTAACTTTCTCAAACTTCACTAAATGGTCATCAGTGATGACTCATCACTATCGGCTCAAAAAAGATGTCATTTTTTGGTGAAAGATGTTTTGTTTGATCTGAAACCTGAAAATAGTCTCGACACTGATTCTTGAATATTGTTTACTCTCACGACTTGAACTGTCATCCATCAAGATAATGTTGAGCCATTACGATACAAATGAAACTAATCAGTTCATTTGGTTCATGTTCACATTTACTTTAGTCTGTATATTAATTGACAAGCACTGTAGTACCTTTGATTTATCATCATCATCATCATGATAATGAATGTTTCATGTTCATGTACAATAAAATGATCATCTTTTCCTTTTCTCTTCCCTTTATCTAGCTGCCAATGTTAATCATAATAATAATGATAATCTGTATCTGAACATTGCCTTCATGAATAACTTTTATCGCACTTTATTGATTATCGTAAAGATCAACATCCTAAATGGATTAATTATTTGATTGTTTAACAATTATCGGCCATAACTGTACCAATAATGGTAACCAATCTGTTTTACCAATAAAAATAACAAGATAACAGTGTTTGTATAAAATTACTGCTCAAGTCTGGATAACATTTTGATAAACAAGAAAACATGAAGAGCGAAAAAAATAAACATCATTTTGCCTTCCTTTTCTTTTCTGTTTACATTATCGTTATTGAGTGAAACTTTTTCACCATTCAATGAACATATGCAAACTGATAATCTTCATGTAAATTGAGGCAACAATTGATTTGGAACGCAAAGAAGGAAAGAGTAAAGTAGAAATGAAAAAAAATGTAAAACAAGAAAAGGTAAAAGTTGCATTTCTCCGTTTTTGTGGTTAAATTGGTTGAACCATAATTTGACTTGCAATATCAAATGATAACTCATTCTGTGGATTATTGCTATTATTATTGCCATTAGTACCATTATGATTATAGTCATTGGCAAATGCAATAATAAAGGTAATAAAAAATGATCATTTCTGGGCAACATTTGTAATCAACTTTTGCTTTCGTCTAAGGCTTTTCATTGCTTTTGTCAATTATTACAGTTTTTCATTATTTTTCTCGTTCCATTCATTTTCTCTGACTTTAATCGTCAACCAATTTCAAGCTGTTTTCATCTTAATGGCATAATCTCGTATTAAATTGTATTCAAAATTTTCTTTGCTTTCCATTGATATGGTTATTAACATCGATTATCATTTTGAACACTTTTATGGCAAAATATTGTTCGATGATGGATAATCATGATTGGATATGGTTAGCTGTGCAAACTATTGATTTCGATTATCTCGTCTAATTCTTAGTTTCTGTTCCCTTACCTTAAGACTGGTGCGTAATTGACTTGTAACTTGTTTTCAAAATTGGCTCAACACTTATTTAAACGCTAAGTAAAAAATTCAACACGAAAATGGCATAAGAAAAAGAGAGGTTTTTATATGAAATGATCTTTAATGACTTCAGTTGTTTTCAACAAGATTTAAATAATCCGAAAAATTCCCTTTTGATAGAAAGTTTTTGACTTTGAGTTTTCAACTTTCCGTTCCCTTTCTACTGACAATGTGAGAAATGAGAAACTCCAAAAATGGTGCACATAACTTGATTGTGAGTTTCCAAGAAAACTCGAGTAGCAAGTAAATTTTTTTCTTGGACTTTGCAACTTCTTGAGCTATAATAGCCGATGAAAAATGAGTTGAGCGATCAGCAACCGTTCTAATACACCAATCAGGTGTCAACTTTAGAACCATGGTATCAAGAATGTGAAGTGAATTGTCAATACAACGAATTGCCATTTTTGTGAGCCAACGCAGGTAAATTTTTAAACAGGAATGGTTAAATGAAACTTTTCTGTTGGAAGTTAATAACGAAGTCCAAATAAGGCAGATTGGACGTAAAATTAGATAGACTACAATAGTCTACAAGTGGTCCTCAAACGGACGATATGTCGCAGAAGATGGAAAAATAAAGTATCTAGAGAGTCTAAAATTCCAACAACTAGAAGATCGAAAATACCAGTGAGTTGGAAAACGAATCACTGTAAACCCATATGATAGTACCAAGTCAAATGGCCGAAATCACCTGCTGAAGAAAGACAAAAAATAGGAAAATAAAAGGTAGCTTAACGCGTAGAAGTCGTATTTAATGTTACAGAGTTGCTTAGTTTGGCTTTGAGTCTACTCTAATGGTCGTTACAATTAAAAATTAATATTCGAAAAAACTTTCTTATTGTCACGATCGCTATAAGACTAAATATGTCTTTTCAATTAATTGGTCATATATTGATCATTGAAACTTGAATTTCATAATTTTCATTCAAATCCCTTCTTATTGAAGTTCATTTAACAATTGAAAAATAATTAAAGAAGAAGATCGACGAAAATTGATCATTTCACTCACAAAATGTCGTGCAGAATTATCTCAGAATATGAAAAATATTTGTTCTTTCTTCGTTTGACTAAGATTCATCTCTTTCTTTTGCGACTTGAATTATTAATATCATGATTAATCATGTAGATTATCAATAATTCAGACTGAAAAATCGTGCCAATTTTTCAATGAGTTTCAAATTCGTAAACAACAATTGTGATGAAAGACTTTCTGCATTTCCAGCAATGGGCAACACTCGCATTTGCTTTCGTCAATCTAAATTTGGTATTAAATTGTTGGCGACATTTTCTTCCTTTACTATTGAAACGGTTATTAGCATTGATTAACATTTGTATAATAAATAGTAGCATGTAGTTCATGATAGATAATGTTGATTGGATATGATTACATGGACAGCTTTTACCCTTGATGTATCGCATTTGACATTCAAACTATTATATAAGAAAATCGTTTAGAATCATCAAAGAAACCCATATTTCAGATCATTCAGTCAATTCTACTTTCCTTTTGTGAACTATTAAATAGAATTCAAATGCCGAACTTCAAACATAATCGATGTTTGATAGATGTTGAATCGACTTTTAGATTGAACTTTTAGAAGATTCCAAAGAAGGTCCAATGTTGCAAATAAATAGCATTAAAATTGATATATTTTCTAATATAAACTAGAAGAGACAAAATTAAGATTTTGGTCAAAATCGAATCTTTACTCATCTTACCGATATCGCAAAACTTTTCTCAAGAGTCGCAAAGTCTCCGATTTTGATGCCATTGTATGGCCCGGCTGTTCGGTCCATTATCTCCAAAAGCTGTACAAAAAGATCAGATGAACACCATTTGCGAGTCTTTTAATTATACCCTCAATCCGTGATTTTGTTTAAGATAAATCACGCATTTATTACCAAAATTTACCTTGTTTGCTGAGCCCAACGTAAGTCTACTCCTGGTGGATAGTTGGTGCAGTTTAACTGTTAACTTATTCAGCTAAAAAAATCAAAAGAATTTAAAATGGGTAAAATATTAAGCGAAATCGAATCATAATTACCTGTGAGATGAAATTACCAAAAATTAAACCAAAAGTTCCAAGAGCTACAAGAATGAGGAAACCGAGAATCGCGAACAGATTTGCGAAAAAATCATTGTAAACTTTAACAATCATTCCAATGAAAAGATCGAAGTCACCTGCGGCAGCAAAAATTGATAGATAATACAACAGTAAATAGCGAAACTTATAAGAAACAGCTTCAACTTCGTTAAGATGACGAATGATTGACACACAAAACGATCCAAGTTGCTTTTCATCGACCAATTGGTGATTCAAGTCTTCTGCCGAGTTCAGTAGATCATATAGCCGAAAGAGATAGAAGTAAATAGAGCAAACTATGTACCAGAAGAATCCCATTACCGTATTTAAAAGAAGTGCGAAAACAAAGATGGATGAAACGGACAAACCAAAACCAAAAAAGGCCAATTTAGGTATTTTGTATGTCCAAGGATTGGAAAGTAATGGTATAAAAAATATGAATAATGCAAAGAAAGGCATAAATAGCATCACGTTATGCGAAAAAATAGAAAATAAAAAGATGGTGAAACGAAATCTTTTGGCATCGAGATCATTCATTTGCAAGTCGGCCGAGTTGAAACCATTGAAACAAACTTTCCATGCAGACAATATTTCGAAGCTTCCTTTTGCATTGAGATTCAAAATCCATTCTCGAAAAATAAACATCATTGCGATCGCCATTGCGCCCCACATCAATAGAGCTTGACGATCTTTAACTCGAAACAATGGATCGCCAAGGTAAATGGCAACTGAATCACTTGAACTAAAACTAAGTACAGCAAATCTTATCACATTCATCAAACAGTTGACTGTTATGAACCAGTCCATCCATTTGTATCGACGATAACCAAGTGTGTTCACTGCAGAGCTGCTTTGGCTTCGACCATTAAAGTCAAGTTGAAAAACAAAAGTCAATCTTTCTGTTCGTTTTAATAACTTACAAACAGTTAAATCAAATTCATTTGAATTGAAAATTGTAAACGAATAACTTGAAAACTTTTCCAATATGTATTTTTTCTGTTTGTTCAAAGTAGTCAAGACTTTAGTTGCCATTATACTTTTTCTAGAAGTGCAACTTGACTGTGATATAATTGAACTGATGAATTTCATTTGTAAAACTTACATGTTGTTAGTTTAACGATCAATTTTATTTTCAACTTTGTAAATTGTTTCTCATTTGACGGTTGCTCATTCACAAACAATTGATTTAAAAATCCTTTTATTGTTCGATGCTATTCAATCATCATGCTTTTATAAATGATTTGAACAATCATTAAAGCAACATCATCACAAAACTTATAACGAAATTTTCCTAACGTTGCAATTGCTAACAACGGCGTAAGAGACTGAATTGATCCACAAAATTTCAATTCAATCAATTTGTTACTGTATAATGTCAAAAATCCTGACAATTTACTCGCTCTATCTAACAGCACTTCTGGCCTTTTTACAAATTGTTAAGGTAAAGTTTAACAGTATAAACAATTTTCAGGTGAATCACGCAATTTTTGCTCTAAAAATTTCTCTTTCGATAGATTTATCTCGATTAATTTTACGTTTTTGAGTTGAAAACACTCTGTTAACTAACAAGCCGAAACACTCGAGCCAGTTTTGAGTGAGAGAGATGTCATCAGAAAGAGGATGATGAGTTATGAAAACCCTAATGGCTTTCACCTGTGAGTCTATCGTCTTGCAGATTTTTTGGTTAAAATTAAAGACTATATTTCAAATCTTCCTTTGGCATTGAGATTCAAAATGCATTCCGAAAAATGAGCAAAATTGAAATATTTATTGTACTATTCATTGTCTCCAAGGTATAACGCAACAGAATCACTTGTGCTAAATACACCAAATTAAAGCGCATAACCATTTGATTGTTATGAACCAGTCCATCCATTTGTATCGACGATAATCAAATGCATTCATCTGAGTTGCTCTGGTTTCGACCATTATACTCAAGTTGGAAGACGTTAGTCAATCTTTCAAATCGTTTTACCAATTTACAAACAGCTAAATGAAACGCATTAGTAAATGAATAAGATTGATTCAGAAGTGCAACATGATTAAAATCAACTTTGAATTTCATTTTTAAAGCATTCAGTTTTCGATCGATTTTATATCAAAATTGTAAATTGTTTTTCATTGTGAGTATTGCCCATTCACAAACAATTGATTTCAAACTTTCCATTCATTGGTGCTATGCAGTTGTCACACTTTATAAATAACTTGAATAATCATCGATTCAATATAATGGAAATATTTATTTTCTGAGAAAAATAGTTGCTAAGAAACTAAATTTATTCACACTTTTAATTGAATTATTTGTTGCACATCCATCATTAAACCAATATCATCAAATATTAATAACATTGAGCGTATAATTTAATTTGTTATTAAAACGATATGTTTGCTAAAAGACTAAATGGTGAGTGCCACGTAAAATCAAACCTTGTTAAGTTATTATAGAAACAGAGAGACCATGTTCCTGTTTCGTAACAATCGCACTTTAAAATTGAAACAATTTTTAATACTTTCACATGAACCTTGCAAAAATCACTGAGCATTGTATAAAGTCATTGAATAATTCCTTAATAGCGGCAACAAAAAGACAATAGACTTTTCATTTAAAGCCAGGATGCATTCCAATTCATCAAAAATCCATGTTAATCTATGTTAGTTCTTGGCATTTGATTACACTTGGAATCCACAATTTCCACTCAATTTATCAAAGGTCCAATGTTAACCGTGAATAGCATTAAAATTGATATGTTTTCTACAATGAACTGAAACAAATAGATTTCTATGAGTTCAAAAAATATTAATAGTTAATGCATCTTACCAATATGAAAAAGCTCTTCTCAAGAGTCGCAAAGTCTCCGATTTTCAAGCCATTGTATGGTCCAGCGGCTCGATTCATTACTTCCAAAACCTAAAATAAAAGTCGTGCATATATCAGTCTCTTAATATATTTTGGAATCATCAATTAATTTAGTATCTAGTAACAAAAAGTGTTCATTACCTTGCTCGATGTGCTCAATGAAAGTCTATTCATCAGCGTCAACTGGTGCAATCCAACTGTTAACTTATCGAGCTAATAAAAGAAAAGAAAGTTTTTTTTAACGAATACAATAATTCAGTTAATAAATACCTTTGAGATGAGATTTCCAAAAGCAAGACCGAAAACTCCAATAGACGGAAGGATAAAAATGCCTGCTACGGCAAGAAGATTGGCTAAGAGGTCATTATGGACTCTGACTATCAGTCCAAGGAAAATGTACACATCACCCGAAGAAGCAAATACAAAAACGTAATAAAAGAGCACATAACGTAATTTGCGTGTTGCCAACTCAAAACTATTGAGACGGCGAATGATTAGTAAACTTAACAACTTTATGTTTCTCTCATTCGAGGCTACTTTAATTGATTTTTTCAGGTAATCGGCCTTGTCTAACAAATCCATCAACCGATAGAGATGAAATGAGAGTGCACAAATGAAATACCAGCTAAATCCGAGAATCGCGTTCAAAAGAAAAGTTGCAATAAAAATGTCTGAAAGTGACCAAAGGAAACCACAGAATGCCAATTCAGGAATCTTGTACGTCCAAGGATTGGCCAGAAAAGGAATGAAAAACCCAACTGATAGAAAAAAAGGAACTACAAGCATCGTGCAATAAGCAACAATGGACACTAAAATAATAGTCAAGCGAAATCTATTCATGTTTACATCATTCATTCGCAAGCAAAATGGATTGAAACCGTTGCGACAAGACAACAATACGGACAATAAATTAAGGTCTCCTTTGGCTTCAAGGCTCAAAATCACCTCTCGAAATATGACCATTGTGAATAAAAAAATTAATGCAAATATAATTATAATTTGACGATCTTTGCTACGAAAAAGAGGATCGCCAAGAATAATGGCCACAGTCTCACTGCTATCGCAAATAAGTACTATGCATCTTAATGCATTAATTAAAGATATTATTCCAATGATCCAATCAAGCCTATTATATCGACGATAGCCCAATGTATTTTTAATAGAGTTATTTTGATTAAAGCCATTGCGTGAAACTTGAAAGATCATGGTCAGCCTTTCAGTTCGCTTTACAAGTTGAGCAGCACACAAATCAACTTCATTAGGATCGGGAGTTACAAATGAATAGCGAAATAAATTTGCCAAATCTTTTAAAAAGTAGTTTCTTTGGACACTCACCGAACTTTCAGTGGAATCAGCCATTGTTTTAATTTCCATGGAGGATCGCAAACTTATGGCATGTAAGATCAAGTATGTAATATCTGTTCAATATTAATATCTGAAACTATTTCAACCTCAATTGCCTGCTTTTATACATCTTTACCTTGCTAATACGTAAGTATCATGAAATCATTTGCACTTGTGATATCGTGATCGTTTCATTTATGATGATGCATTGCTAATATGTATTGACAATTTAATTTCGATTCAAATTGATTTTACTATTGATCACTATTCAAATGTGGAACATTTAACTAGCAATAGTTATAAGGAAAATTAGGCTGAGGTCCCGATTAAGGAACCATAGAAGATCTGCCATTAGATATTTCCATTTTCCAGTCCATCCATTTGAATCAACGATAACCAAACGCATTCACTTCAGATGAGTTGCTTCGACTATTAAAATCAAGTTGAAAGACAATGGTCAACCTTTCTGTTTGCTTCACTATTTTACAAACAGCTAATTCAAATTCATTTGGATTGGGAAGTGTAAACGAATAACTTGACTTTTCCAATTTTCTGAAAACGTATTTTTTCTGTTTGTCCAAAACATTCAAGGCTTTGGTTGCCATTATTTGTTTTTCATCGAGAATTGAAACTTGATTGTCATAGAATTGAACTTTTTGATCAATTTTATTTTTAACTTTGTAAATTGTTTCTCATTGCGACGGTTGCTCATTCACAAACAATTGATTCCAATGTACTCTTATTTTTCGGTACTACTAATGTCATACTTTGATAAATAATTCAAATGATCATCAGAGCAACATCATTACATAACTTATAATTTAATTTTTCTCCTAACGGTATGATTTATTAGAAACTAAATCTATTCGTAATTGATTTTAAATTATTGATCATTTAAGCTCAACGCCGGTTTAAGTTTTTGAGTAAAAGACAATAAAATAATGGCTAAAGCAATCATTATGCTCTTAATTATGCTACCCGGAAAGAACGAAGACACAATGCTTGTTGATGCATGTTGATTCGACTTTAATTTTCAAGCTGAACTATTTGAAGACTCCAAAGAAGTTCCAATGTTGCAAATGAATAGCATTAAAATTGATATGTTTTCTAGGATGAACTAAAAGAGACAAAATTAAGTTTCATCAAAATGACATCTCTTCTACTTACCGATATAGCAAAGCTTTTCTCAAGAGTCAGAAAGTCTCCAATTTTAATACCATTGTAAGGCCCGGCAGCTCGATCCATTACCTCCTGAACCTGTAACAAAAAATCAGATGCACAATATTTGCAAGTTTTGAATCATGTTCTTAATTTGTGATTTAGTTTGTCCTCTTTTGAAGATGATACTAGTTTATTTCAAATTGAGCAAACATCGAGAACTTAAAAACTTATTCGCGATAAATTATTATTGTTTGCTTTTGCTTTTATTACCAAAATTACCTTGTTTGGTGAGCACATCGTGAGCTTTCTCTTGACGGATAGTTGATGCAGCTTAACTGTTAACACATTCAGCTAAAGGAATAAAAAGAATTTACAAATTACCTAAAATCAATGCTAAATTACCTGTGAGATGAAATTTCCAAAAATTAAACCAAAGACTCCAAGAGATAGCAGAATCAAGAAACCAAGGATTGCAAGCAAATTTGCGAAAAAGTCATTGTAAATTTTAACAATCATTCCAAGAAAAAGATCAAAATCACCTGCAACAGCAAAAATTGAAAGATAATATAACAGTAAATAGCGAAACTTGTGTGAAACAGCTTCAAATTCGTTAAGATGACGAATGATTTCCAAACATAATGATTGAAGTTGCTTTTCATCAACCGATTGTCTCTCCAGGTCATCGGCAGACTGTAAT